TCAAGCAAGTCATCTAAGTGTTATGAGTGAGTAGACATCACAAGTTCAATTAAAAAAACTCATTAAAATATTATAAAATAGGGTTAATTTGGAGAAAATAGAAACACACTTCACATATTATATATTTTAGAGAGATTTGAGGGAATAAGGTGATTCATTGTTGAAAATTATGTAATTCTTCATGTTTTTATTCAATAAAATTTATTTAGTTAATCATTTTACTCTTATACTTAATAATTATTATTACCTAATCAACTTTTTCATGATTTTATAATTTTTAATTGAAGTTAAAAAATTATTTTAAAATTACGACTTAAATAAAATGCTAATAACATTTATTACTAAATAATTGAGACAATCGACTTTTAAACCTCTGATGTTAATGTGGGTTGTTTAATAAACTTGACTAAAAAATTGAGATTTTTCTTAAATAATCTAAAATTTCTCACCTAAGAAACTATAGTTAAAATATTTTCTTTTGAATTAACTTAATTATTACTAAAATTAAGTAATAATTGAGAAGAATATATTTGAGAAAAGCTAATGAAATTAATCCCTAGTGTTTTTTATTATAAATTTTCAATTATCTTTTTTATCTTTATTCTAAATTCATAAAAATACGTTTTTTTTTTAATCTTTATTATATTTTTCAAATAAATCTATCCTTTTCTTTTCCTTAATTAATATTAAATTAGATTAATTAATTATTACATTAAATTTCTATTAATTTTACTATGACAATTAATATATTTGTCAAATATGTATTAAATACTTAAAAATATTTGAATGGTTCAATTATGGAAGTTTCTGTTCGTGTTAATTGATGGTTGGTTCTACCGTTACATATCTATAACGATGGTTGATTTAGGATACAAATAAAGACTTTCTGTGGGATCGACGAGAGGGAAGGCAGAGAGTGAACCAATTTTGAATCCAAAACTATCTTGTTTTCATGCCTCCGTCCATCCATGCATCCTTTTCAGAAGCAACAAATCCCAACTGCATTCATATTCATAAATATCGTATACATAAATATCGTAATCCTGATGAAACTCGTGAAGCTACAAATAAAGTTGATTCCTAATTACTAGATTACACTAGAGATGCAAAAAATGAATAATAAATGGAAAGCTTCTTCCATTTGCAGATGTCATGCTGATCCTTAATAACTTTTCTCTTTCCATATTTAAGCCATCCAACCCCACTGCTACCAGCAGCAACCAAACTAATCAATGCGAAAATAACCGTGCACCATTTGGGCCCTCTCATTGCTTCAAGATGCTATTGTTATCGTTCACTTATTGGACAAAAATATAGGCATGCATGAATGTTGCCTCCATCGTGTGAATATAGGAACCTTTTAAGCATGCAATAAATCATCATTTCGTATAGCAACAAAAAAATCATTGTCACAAATTTTGCATTACAGTTTTGCTATCACAATATGATGCAAAGATAAGATAAAGTCAGAGTCATTAAGCAAATCTTATTCTTATCGATCAAAAATATCATAGGAAGCTATCGTCATAAGTCATAACACGCATATATAAGTCGTATATTTGCACTTGAACCGATAGGAAAAGCGCCCATAAAATATAGTTTCACAAATCCAAAGCAACTTCAAGGATATGATTGAGCCAAACAAAGGGTCACATTAAAAATCACGTCTTGTCGAATATTATGATCATTGAACGGAGGAAATTGATAAGCCTAATTAAAGATTTTGTCAAAAGAAAATGTAATAGAGTTATTGACGATTACTAGTTTGATTCCAGAATGTCTAGCAAACGAATGTCCATCACAACTATTGACTACTATATAATTTATAAAACAGAATCACTAATTTTTTCGATGGCTGCACCAAGTATTAATTTATGTCAGTCTGCAATTGATATCTGATCTTGAACATTCCATTTCTATTTTATAAATGAACCCCTTATCTATTAATTGATTTTATTGTCATTTATTTTGGTACAAGTGTGAAAGAATAAAATTACATTCGTGTCCCTCATTAATCCCTAGTAGTGTCTATAAATGAATTCCACGGCAAGCGTACTGTGGCAGTTGGGTGTTGTAGAAAGCAGAGAATGAAAAAGTTGTCTAAGGTCAGCGTTTGCATGGCAGCCCTCTCCTTCCTCTTCTTAACCCTCACTTATGCAGACGGAACTGGTCCTGCTTCTTCCTATGTTATTCTGAGCAAAGGGGTTGGTTTCTTAATTTATATATATCTTCTCTTCAAAAGTGCTGCAATTACATCACATGCATACATTTTCTTTATTATGTTTAGTTATAAATTGTATGGTCTTATATATATATGGTTGAACGTAGAAGGTTTTGGAAGAGGAAATGGCCAACGTAGAAGAAAGTTGTCAAGGCATTGGCGAAGAAGAATGCTTGATGAGGAGAACTCTTGCAGCCCATACAGACTATATATATACACAGAAGCAAAAGCCAAAGCCATGACCCATGAGTTAGATCAATTATTTGTACTGTCTTGAAATCTGAACCATGCTACCCTGGTAGAAATTTATTTTTTATAATATAGCCTCCATATGTAGCTTTTCACAAGAGCAACTTTAATCATCTATATCTTTCTCTTGCAATTGCAGACACGAGGGATTTTCTGTTTGTCTTCCCCCCTTTATCCATGCGGAATATATATGTATTCCGATAGATTTATTTCTTTTGACTTCGTATTGTAAATATCAATGTCGTTCATTTTAGTATAAATAAATGAGAAATTTTATAGTACCCATCTTATTTGAGAGGGTACCGGTACAGTTTTTTTATATTTTATATTTTTAATAATTTATTTAAATATTTATGATATTTTATTCTTTTAATTTTTAAATTATTTAGTCATTTTATTTTTATTTTATATATTCTAATTTATTTATAATAAATTTTTGAATTTCTATATTTTAATTTTAATAAATTTTTAAGTATATTTTTTTGTCTTTTTGTCCTAAATTTTTAAATTTCTATATTTAAATTTTAATAATTTTTTATTTCTACTATTTATTAATTTTTTTTTTAATATTTTATAATATTATTGAAATCTTATAATTTTAATCTCTATAATTTTATCTTACTTTTCATTTTATAAATATAATTTAAATTATTCATTTTATAAGTAAATTAGTTTTTCTTTTAATTTTTATAAGTTTACATAAAGAATATATTGAAATCTCTCGATCTTTGAGGGTACCATAGCAACTCCCTAAATAAATTTGAACATGTCAGTTTATCATTAGTTATTATCAACTTCAGTCTCCTATTGCCATAATCTTGAGATTGGGATTCAGAAATACTTCAAAACCTATTTGTTCGCAGCAACATTTCAAATCAAATCAACTAACCTGTTAAGAAGGAAGTGGGAGTTAGTGTAGGGCCCGATTGTCCACCTTTTGCACCACCATAGTATGATATTGTCCGCTTTGGGCCCAAGCCCGCACGGTTTTGTTTTTGGGCTCCTTCCCAAAAGGCCTCATACTATGTGGAATGGTGGACACTTATAAACTAGCCAATGTTCCTTCATTTTACCGATGTGGGACTTGGGATGAATCCCAACAAACCTCCCCTCAGACCAAGGACCACATGTCTCGTGATCTCCTCCCCTCAAGCGATAATCCGTCACCATCTTGTACCGCATCTCCATCGCGAGGCACAACACTGAGGGTCTTCCCGCATCAAACCCAGACGAACCGTTGGCTCTGATACCACTTGTAGGGCCCGATTGTCCACCTTTTGCACCACCATAGTATGATATTGTCCGCTTTGGGCCCAAGCCCGCACGGTTTTGTTTTTGGGCTCCTTCCCAAAAGGCCTCATACTATGTGGAATGGTGGACACTTATAAACTAGCCAATGTTCCTTCATTTTACCGATGTGGGACTTGGGATGAATCCCAACAGTTAGCTGATGAAGTGAATTAGAGAACAAAATATATAAAATTTAAACGAGTAATCTTAGTATACACATTATACTAAATATGTAGCAGTATCTCTCTCTTTATTTATTTATTTATTTATGTGGACACTAAAGATATTTTGACTAAAAATAGGATAGGAGACTAATTTTTTTTATAACATGAAAGTTTACCGAAGTCAATTACAGAAACTCAACTACCAATTCATTGCATCAATCTTTGGATTACATATTTCTTTTACAGTGTATAGTAGTTTTAATATTAAATTAATGTTAACAAAATAAATTATACCGACTACTTAAAGTCTTATGAGATTATATATTCTTATTTATAAGATGTAAGTTAGACTATTTATTTATTTATTTTTATGTAAGATTTAATTTACATTGTCTCTTATATTAATTATTTTTAATTAAAATATATTTTTGAATTTGATAAAATATATTTATTATGAACTCTTTAAAAAGTATGCATTTTAATTAGTTAAAAAAATGAGTATTAATTAGGACTATGAGAGATAAGTAATACAAGATACATAATCTGGTTAGAAAATATATACATATTAATTATAAGAAAGAGAATTAATATAAAAATAATTATATATATATATAAATAAAATAATTATTATTAACTAAATTAATTATATTTTAATATTAATAAATTAAATAATTAGACCTTATATATAGAGGATTGAAAGATAGTAATATTTTTTCTTTAATAATGTTTATAACAATTTCAATTTTCCTTATAAAAATACGTGGTGCAATGCTATTTAAATAATTAAAGAGTATTCCCGTAGTGTTCAGAGTGTTAATGTAATGCTTTCTAATCAATTAAGGAGGTGAATATAAAGAATTAATTCAGAGGTAAGTATAAAGATAAAAAAAATGTAAAAAAATTGAAAAAATAAGAAAGTGTAATTTATTCATTTCATTGAACTTGGTATTTTTCTGTTATTTTAGATGAATATATTTAAAAAAGATATATTTTAAATCAAGATAGAATAATAAAAAAATTGAAGCCGAGAGAATTTAGTTAAATATAGTTTTTTATATTTGTTATGAGTAAATAAAAGAGATATGAAATGTGGTGGGAGGTGGAAGGAAAAGAGTAAAGAGTAAAGAGAGGTTTTGAGTTTAGAGAGAGAGGGAGATGGAAAAAGAGAAAAAGAAGTATCTTCTGAAAACGGAGCCGTCGGAGTGGTCGTGGGAGGATCAGGCAGCGAACGGAGGCATAAGCAAGTGGGACGGAGTGAAGAACAAGCAGGCCCAGAAATACATGAAGGCCATGTCCATCGGCGACCTCTGCTTCTTCTACCACTCCGGCCCCAAGGCACGCCGCATCGTCGGTGTTGTTTCCGTCGTCCGGGAGTGGTACGGCGATGCTGTCGACGTCAAGGCTGTCGGAGAGATGAGGAGGCCCGTCGACTTAACGGAGATGAAGCATTTCAAGGATTTCGCTCTCTTGAGGCAGCCTAGGCTCTCTGTTGTCCCTGTTCCCGACCTCATTTGGAACCAAATATGTCATTTGGGTGGCGGTTACGACGGTGACGATACCTCCTCTCCATCACTCTGCTCCAATGTAAATTAACTTCTGCTTTCTACTCTCCATTCCATTAAATCTCTTACTTTTGCTTTTCTATTCGATTTAATGTCCCAGCAAATCTAACCCTAACCCTAACCCTAACCCTAACCCTAATCAACAAACTGTCTTTTCCCTCTTCAACTAACAAGTATTGTGGGCTTATGCCCAACTCTTGTTTGGCCCGCTTTCAACTATTATTAGCCTTCCTGAAAGGACAATTTTACAATTACACTATTATCGGTATATTACCGCCCAAATAAACTATGTTTATTCTATATAACTAATATTTATAATAAATTATGTATATAAATAAATATATAATATTTATGAATATATAAATTATATTTTAAATTTATAATAAATAATTTATATTCTATTACATGTTTATCTTTATTTATTGGTAATCTATTTTTAAAATATTAAAAATTAATTTATAAATTATTATGATAAATAAATGTTTATAAAAACTGAATTATTTATTTATTTTAATTGAACTAAACTATTTAAAAATTGAGTTGTACTGAATTGAATTAATTATAGAAACTAGACTGAATTATAAAAATTGAACTATTTTTAAGAAAGGGTAAAAATTAAATGTGTGTAACATGTCCTTGTTGGGTTAGCTCAATAATCTAATGACCTAGATTTTGAAAAAAAAGTGATATGAAAAAAATTGTATTAATTTTGTCAAATCCAACGAGTCAACCAAATTATGTTGGACAACTAATTTATAAGCTTAAAATTTACCAAATTTGTTTTACTTGATTCTATATTTTTTTTTCCCTTTGAATATAGTATATAAAATAAAGTTAACAAATGTGTCCTAGACGAACTAACGAATCAAAATTGTTCGATTCAAAGTCTGACAATAATTCAGTATAATTTGAATTGTAGTTCACTTAAATTTTTTATAATACTGTTTAGTTTAGTTCAATAGTAAAAAATAGTTCAATTCAATTCATATCCGAATATGCAATTCAAACAAACTATTTTTAAATTCAATACAATTTTTATAAATTTAATTTAATTTATTTTTTCTACTCTTAAAAATAATATGAATATTTTAAATTCAAACAAATTTATAATATAAACTTTTTTCTATTTATGGAAATTATACGAGAGTATTGATGAGATTTACAATACTCATGTATTTACTCAACTAATTGAACTTTATATATTTAAAATATAAGAACACATCAATAATTTACGCTGGTATAACTTAGCATTAAATAAAACATATTTCAATTGTAAAAATGTTAAATATATTCATAATTATTTTTGAAACATTAAGATTTAAATAATAAAGTCAGCGTTAATTTATTTTAAAAAAATCTATACAATTAAATAAATTATAAAAAAAATGTATTCTTATCTTATTTGATATAAAAATGTAAACAGAGACTTAGAAAAATAAAAGAGCTAAAGGCTGTAATCGATTTTTTTAATTATTGTTTAAAAAACTACTTTTCAAATAATTTTAAAACTTTGCAACAAAATTGTGAATTAATGCCGATCAGTTAACTTAGACTTTGTTTGGGAGAGGGAAGAATTGGAAGGAATTTTTTCGAAAGTGGGAGAAGAATTGAAGGGAAATAAAAATAATTAAAAAATAATGTAAAATTTGTAATTATTTGATATAGTAAAATTAGGTGAATTTTTTTAATATTATACTTTATATAATTAGATTTTTATATAAAAATATATTATTTATATGATTATATTATTACTAATTAAATATTTAAGACAATAATATAAGGTTAATTTTATTTAAATATATATTTTTTTATTCTCAAACAAATATATCTAAATTCACATATATTTTATCATAATTTTTTTCACAAATTCACTTAAATTATCTCCTTCAAATACACTTTTTTTTTTTAATTATTTAATATTCTATCCGTTTCTTCTTTTTCTATTAAATCAGCTTCCTAAGCACAAAGTAAGGTAACACTACTTACCATGAGTAATAGACGCCAATAAGTCAGAATTGGCCTTACTTGTTCTAACAAAAGAGAGCACAAAATAAGAAAAAATTTATTTATTAACCTACACGTTTAAAACGTATTTAATATTTTTTGAATGAGTTGAGAATACATTCATCACAAGTTACAATTTTATATATTTTTTTAATGATGTATTGACGAGAAAACCCTTGACTATACATCACACTATAATTTTTTTTACAAGCTATTTTAATTATATATTACCTATAATTTGTTTTGCAATGATTATCCTCATTGAATGTTAAAACACTTATTAATATTTTCATTTGTTAATTAAACAATTGAGTTAGAAAATATTTATTGATTTTTAATTACATATTTAATATATATGGATGAGTTAACAAGATCCTTGACTACATCACAAGTTACATATTTTTACATGCTATTTTTTAGTTATATATCACTTATAATTTGTTTTGAAATGATCATTTACATTGACCATTAAAACACCTATTTTTATTTACAATTAAACAAATAATTTATTAGTTTTTTTTTAATTTACATGCTTCAGATATATTTAATATTTATGAATGAGTTGACAAGACCTTGACTGCATTACAAGTTACAACTATACTTTTTTACACGCTATTTTTAATTTTATACTACTTATAACTTGTTTTGAAATGATCAGCTACATTGACTGTTAAAACAGTTATTAATATTTTTTATTAATTAAACAGATAAATTACAAATATTTATTATTATTATTTTTTAATTTACATGTTTAAAGTATTCTAGTATTTAATATTTCTGAATGAGTTGGAAGTACCACCTTGACTGTATACATCACAATTCACAAGTTACAACTATATATTTTTTACATGCTATTATATATATATA